CAGCTCTGGTTGCACCTCTTGAAAGTGACAGCAGATACTGCCTGTTGATTTGCCCAACCTGATCTGGCAGAGGGCATGGAATGAAGCCCTGTCTCCTTGCAGGCCTGGCCTGGCTCTCCCAATATCCCAGCCAGGATAGCTGGGGTGGGGGAGCAGGGGCTAGGAGGCAAGAGGGCTCTGTTCCACCCCACCTCTCCCCCTCTAGCTCTAGCCAGGGAAAGCCCAGCCAGCAGCTCTGTGCTGATCCCTTCCCCTCCCTCCCCTGCTGACAGCCCCAGATGTTGGGGGATGGGGAGAGGGCAGTTCAGAGGCTGCTAGAGCATGACTGCCTGCTGGTCAGGGCTCATGCAAGCAGGCTTGATCCCACCCCCGCAACCCAACAGATAAATAAATGTCTGTTGGATCACGGGGGGTTGGGGTAGGGAGGGAAGGGGGCATGTATAAAGCATCATGAGTTAAAGTGCAGCCCCTAAACATCTGTATGTACCGTAAGTGTGACAATGAAGACTGAATTCCCCTCTTCTACTCCTGGGGCTGGGAGAGAAGGACAGCCCATAACAGCCATTTCAGCTCCTTATACACCCATTTCAGTATCTGCACACTTCAGTTCCAGTAACCAAATCAGCTTCCCCAGTTGAGATGCACCTAAATTTTGGAGGGATGATTTTTGGGAAAGGCCACAAATGTTTTACAAACAAATAAGGTAACACAGCAAAAGTGAGTGCTGGGGATGGGATTGTCTACCAGTACAAACATATTGGCATCAGCAGTAGGGTTGGGGTTTTGTTTTATCCTTGATGGTTCAGGAACTGTTAGATGCAAGGGTTTTTTTGATGATATCTTTTATTGGACCAACTATATTGTTGAGAGAAATGCTAGGTAGCCTTTTGGACAAAACAGCCTTTCATATCAAACCATTTCCAAATATTGTTTTTTCATCCAGAAATGCTAGACACTTATTTAAAAAATAAATAGAAGCAAATATTCTGATCTAACCACATGGCTCCAAGAGCTGGCTCTTATTATTAATTTATTGTAAATAGTAGTGGTCATCTTAAGAAGGGCACTTGTGCTCAAAAGTTTGCCAGCATGTCTCGTAGCTAAACAGTTGGTCCAGAGAAAGATAGTGTCAAATAAACCTTGATTCTCTGTTGGACATCAACATTTCTCCCTTTTGCCGTTTTCCCAACCTGTTTCCCTATTCTCATATCTTACACTGCTTCTGAGGATGTTCTTTCCCACAGCAACCTCTTCTTGCACCCCTACTTCTTCCTCAAGGACTCTGAGGGATGCATTGGACTACTTCTCCTGTCATGTCTGGGCCTTTCCTCCAACCCTATTCTCATTCACTTTTAACAGTGTAGTCAGATGGACTGAAAAATATGTCAGGAATGAGCCACTTTCATACCCTAAGGGACACCACTGCAAAGGCCCAATGCTGAGCTGTGTACAGCATGGATGGTATGTAAGTGTCAGTCCAAACAAGCCTCAAGGAAATGGTTAGAACATAACCAACGCCCATGATACTGGCTTCTGACTTTATTTTCATCTCAGCTTAAATAAATGTGTGATTATAGTGCTTTTCTTCTTACAGCAAAAAGAGATCATGACTTAGTGTTGCTGCTTTCTTTTCTTTTCTTGTTTACTAAATTTGTATCTACTAATAAATAAATAAAGGTTTACACCCTATGGCATAAAAATATATTTGCATAATGCTCTTTTTGCCCTTTGATATTATTCATCTACTCTCTGAGGAATCTCTCTTAATTTTACACGGTGTTCATTCTTATATTTTAGCTCCCCCACAGTTTGTGGTGAGGCCACGAGATCAGATTGTAGCCCAGGGTCGAACAGTGACTTTTCCTTGTGAAACTAAGGGAAATCCCCAGCCTGCTGTTTTTTGGCAAAAGGAAGGCAGCCAGGTAAGTCTACAAATTTCACCTGAAACTTGATCACATTTTTAGTTGATATTGTTCAGTTTTTAAATGTTCTCTTTTACTTTAATTTATTTCCCAAGTTCTATGCACCTTACTCAGACAACCCATTTGTCCCCAAGATACCCTAATGTAACAACAAAGACAGTAGTGGTGGTGTTGAACATTTACGTTGAGAAGTGTAAGCCAACTGGGTTGTGGCTCCACTGAAATAAGTGCTCTGTAGTCATACAGAAAATGGCAGTACCTGCCTGAAAGTCTGTTCTTTCTGAAATACAGGATAACAGGTGGATGTGATAAATATGGAACACGTCATGAGAGCTAGGGCAGCAAAAATAATAGGATGTGCATGTTGCCTAGCAAATCGGAAGTGGTAATTACAATCCACTGACTGATTTGCCCCGGTACATACCAATGGTGCATGCAAATGCACCTTTTGAACACACAACTTGTTTGCTCTGGCAAAAGTGCCACAAACAATTTCTGCAGTTATTTTTTTAAATCTTTTCCTCTGGATGTGTTATTTTAAAGACAGAGTTTCTGATTCGACCATGATTATTGCTGTGGGTGTGTATTGGCTTCATTAGTTTTACACCCAAACATGATGCCATTATGCATAAGCCTTTGTTTAAATTTCCATCGTAAATGTTCTGCCAATACTAGATGATTTCAGCAGTCAGGTGCTGTCACCATCTGGATGGATTTCCTTTTGGTGTGTAAATGTTTGAATGTGATAAACCATGGGCTAGAGCCTCTGTTGTACTTGAGCTCTGCTCAGCACAGGAAGAGGTATTATCAGTAAGGCAGTTAATTAGTTGATTACTGCCAATTCTCTTGCAGCGTAGAATTGTAACACTAAATTTCTATGATGCTTATTTTTGGTCATTTTCCAGCTCTTTTGTGACACCTGATCCAAACAAATAGGTGAGGCCTCAATTAAGAATCTGGGCACATATAGTAATGTAATTTTTCTCCTGGAGTCAGCTGAGGTATATTTTCATATGTTATTCTTCTGCCAGGTGGTTAATGGCAGCAGGGGCCAGGTTCAATATGTCTAGGCCAATAACAGTAAAACTGGCTTGAGATCCTTGTCAGAATTCTGGGAAAAATAATAAAAAACCATCCTCCCCTGGTTGTCCTCAACAGGCACAACCTTCCCTCCTCTCTAAGTCCAGAACAAGGAGATCTCTTTTAAGAGAAACAGGGATATTGAACCTGAGGAAGCTTAATGATACTATAACATTCAAATGAAGGTGAAGATACTCTCTAAAGCTTTAACAGTCCATACAAATTATTTCCCTCTGTAAATGCCCAAAAGACAAGAGTTTTCTGGCCACATCACTGCAACCAGCACAAATCTCACTCAGTAAAGGTCAGGGAATAGTAACAGCCCAAGTACCTTAGGCAAGTACACGCTGCCTGTCTGGCTTTAGCTCTGTTGAAGCTGCATGCTTAATGTCACCTCGAGCTGCTAAGCATTCAACTCCGCTTTCTGAGTCAGCTCAGTTTAGGTGCCTGGTAAGAGAGAGCCTCACTGAAATTGTCCCAACTCTGTTTCTGTCCTGGTTGTTTCTGTTGAGCTGTCTGTTCTTCACTGATTTATTATGAGAACTTGAGTTAAAAATTGAATTCCTCTGCAAAACTGACGTGAGCTACGCCCTGTAAAGGTCAGCTTCTCACAGAGGTTAATAAATATGTTACAAAATAGACTGGCATCGTCTGAGAGGAAATGTGCCCCAAAACACCATTACTGCTGTATTATTTAATCCTGCAGGCCAGTCCACGTTAATGGATCTGCCTAGGTTCCTACCACAGGGTGCCACTTCAAAGTTAGCATGTGTAGGCACTTGGGTCCAATTGCAGGATCAAAACCAGTCTCAATACCCTGAGCTTAACAGGGGTTTAAACCTAAAATGATCAGTTGTTATTATTGTAACCATTAAGTTGTTTAACTTTAGTTTCCATTCAAATTTGTTTCAGCCTATTATACAGAGTGATAAGAATTTCAGTTCTAACCTCCAAATGCATATTCCACTTACTTGAAAAGTGCAGCATTGTGCCTTACTAAGGAGAAACATTGTTCCAGTAGGAAAATATAATAGCATTTTGAAATTAAAGTAGGAAGTACTGATGTGCTACAAAAACATTTAAAAAACCCTCCTTGTAGAGGGTTTTAATAACATGGTAATGTTTATGTAAAGTGGGCTTATAGTGTCACACTTGAATCTAATAAAGTGGACATCCATCACGTTGTAATAAAGAGAAGAGCTTCTAATTAAAGTAGGACATCATTTGCAGGATTAAAGTCATTTAGCGTAATTGAAAAGTGCTAATACTCTATTTTATCCTTTTCCACTGGTATCACTTCAAGGGTAAAAACATTTTAAGGTGAAAATGTGTCTTGTGTCTTTAATTGAATGTTATTACCTTCTGATTGTACCATGCTGAAGCTGTTTAATTACAAACCTGGAAAATTAATTACAATATTGAGAACCAGTTCCCAGAGGGCTTGAACATTCTTTTTTGGCAAATAAATGCAACATAAAAATTGATACCTACATTGTTTATAATCAAACCTTGAAAGATAGCTCAATGTGATTCATTATACCCACATGTTATTCTTAATTGAGCAGCAATGAAGCAACACAGGTTAACTGGGTTAATGTTACTATCCTAATGTAAAACTTTCAAAGCTTTGTAATAGACATTACCCCATTAAATGTCAGTTTCAACTTTAAGTATTTATCATAAAAATCGAAGTGGACTTTACATTCATATATTCCTCTGGCTTTACATTCTGGCATGGGAGTATAGACTTGAGGTGCCCTTTTTCCATCTTTGTCAAGAAGCCATCTTCTTCCTTGGGGTGCCACTATCAGTATGCTTTGTGGTGCTATGTATGACTAATCAAGTTAACCACTTAAAAATTAAAGGTCATTCTTCATTCTCGACCTGTTCTGTTTTTGAATACTCTCTTTCAGAACAAAAACTGGGAAGGGAGGAAGGAATGGGAGAAGGGGGATGGTTTATTACTTGTTTGCCTTTCCAAACACTCCTCTCCACTTCCCTCCCTCCTTTGCCTGTCTTTTATAGTCAGATCTCTCTCTCTCTCTCTCTCTCTCTCTCTCTCTCTCTCTCTCTGTTTAATACATTGCTCTGTGTATGTCCTTTCACAGCATCTGATGAAGTGAGCTTTGACTCATGAAAGCTCATGTTGATTGATTTAGTCTGCAAGGTGCAAATCTACCTTACCTTCTGCCTGAAAGCAGACTATCATGGCTAACTATCTCTTTCTATGTACAGAGAGTTGGAAGGAAGGGAGTTATTCTCTGGGGTTATTCTTGTGTCGGCTTGTGTATCAGCAGCTAGTACTTTGTATTTGGTAACCTTTCTTCTCTAAGCTTGACAGCAGTACTCCAGTGAGATGTACCAGCTCAAGGCAGGCAAAGTCTTTAAACTCTCCAGGCCAAATTTATACCTGGTGTTACTCTATTACACTTGAAAGATGTAATTTCAATGAAGTCAATAGAGTTATACTAGAGATGAGTGTGGCCCAGCATGCCACCATTATGCCTGAATAAGCAAACTGTCTGATAATTGAATCCACTTAAAGTTAAAAGACCTTTAAAATCATGTGTGCAGCAGTCAATTTATAACAATTTATCATCCACTGGTCTGATCCTGAGGCGTGAGATGATGAAGTTGCAGAATTGACTGGGGCCCAACATCCCTCAGGATTAGATATCCCATGCTTAAAGAAGGTGAGAGGAGGAGAGTCACATAAGAGGAGAATGAATGATTAGCAATGAAAGGATTATAAGGATTAGGGACCTTAACCTGCAGTGACTTCTGCCTTGTGTCACCAAGTTCACATCTGCAAGTAGAGGAATGAGTAAAGCTCTGCAATGTCGAGATTTTCTGTTTTTGTGCCATTAGGTGAGTTTTTTCACTTGCTTTTCAGTCATGCTGCCTCTCCTTGTACAAGGCATGTACAGCTACCAAAGACTCAGGACAATGCAGAATCTTAGGTGGTATTCTCACTAATTTCTCACTAATCACTGGTTGGAAGATTTCTGAGAAAAAGGGTCAGGGGTGGGGTTTGTTGAAAAATACCAGTTAGTTTAAATAGCTTTTTGTGGGAACATGCTGACTTGGAGGACATTTTTTTCTTTGGAAGGGCTTCTCAAGGATAAGATGGAGTTTTAAGGAGAGAGGGAGACTACAGACTGGCCAGTGGGTAGAGCACTTATCTGGGTTGTGGCAAATTCAAGTTAAAGTCTCTGGCCTGAACCAGGCAGATTAAGGACTTCAACCTGCATTTCCCACTCCCCATATCCTAACTACTGGGCAACTGGATACCCTGTGATTTCTCTGTGGGTCTTTTGGAGGGAAGAGGAAACAAACATTGTTGTCAGGTTTCAGGTTCATTCCAGTGCAGGAAGGAAAAGTTGCACAGGCTATGAAAACTGCCTTCTGCCTAAATTTTCTCCTGTTGAAGTCAAGGTATAATTAATTACCATTGGGAGCAAGACTTAGATCAACACTGAATGCCTTTGAATGTCCTATCCATGAGTTTAAGTTTTCTGCTTCGCATCAACGGGCAAACTTCAATATGTCAACAGAACTTTTCCAAATTTCTAGTCATGGAACGAAAAACAAAACAATGTTATAATTAGTTATAATCAGTAGTTTATATTACAGTTGTTCAAGTGTTTGGGGGATGTTATTAGTGTTAATTATTCTAATAGTTTTATAATGGTCTAGTTTAGTTGATACTATAGTTAAACTGATTTGCCATATTTTTATAGATTTAACTAGCTGAGGCATATTTCTTTCTCATCATTCCTTTTAAAGCTTCTCTCTCCTGTTTCTCATCTCCATCACCCATGACAGCTCTACTAACCTCAATTTCCCGTATAAACATTTTTTATTCCTCCTAGTCCTCCTTTCCTCACATCAAGGTTCTTGCCAGATGTTGTCACTTTTCTCTTTAAAATTTTCCCTCAGTTACTAAAACCCTAGTTCATGGCTTGATCATAGTTTACTTCAACTACTGCTCCATTCTCATTTCCATAATTATTATCTCTCTTTGCTCTGATCCATTCAAAAGGCAGAAGCTAAATTAATCACTTTTCTCTATATTAAATATGCTACCTGATCCTTCTTGAAACTATTGGCTCTCAGTCAACTTCCACATCAGATTTATACTCTTTGTCCTCACCTTCAAGGCTCTGTTCATCTCTGCCCCTTTCCTGCAGCTCAGTTTTAATTTCCTTCTACCCCCTCCTTTAACCTCTCATACTCTGCCACCTTCTCTTTCTTTATGGTCTATTTGTATCCTCCTCCCAGTTGTGCTTCTTTTGTTCCTGCTTTCCCCTTTGCCTGGAAAAGTATTCATTGCCAAGCACTCTCTCTATGGCCCTTCAAATATCTCTTCATAATTCACTTCTTTCAGGTATTTTTCTAATCTGTACTCCAGTGTTATCTCCTGGTCTGGTGCCCACTGTTAATTTTATTAAAATTAAATCCAGAACTAAGAAGGACTATATGAAATAAATTCAGACCATCTAAGTATAATCAATGACACCTTTCCCTCTTGCCTGTACCCCTACCTGAAACTCTGTTATCTTGTGTTATTTAATAGTGTGTTTTGTCTGACTTAAACAGCAAAGTCTGCAAAGCAGGAAATATTGGGGGGGGGGGCAGTTATGCTTATGAAATCCTGATGTGGTATAGTTATAGTATATATAGTATGTTATAGTATGGTATAGTAACGCTGTTTATATTTTTATTTTTATATAATGCTTGTAAAGGAAATCATTGTGTATTTGACTGATGGCAAAACAAAACAGTGCTCTTATTTTGCACTGATGTGGTATAATATGTCTCTACAGAATCTACTCTTTCCAAACCAGCCTCTCCAACCCAACAGTAGGTATTCAGTGTCACCAACAGGGGACCTCACTATTACCAACATTCAACGGTCTGATGCAGGCTACTACATCTGTCAGGCACTGACGGTTGCAGGAAGCATTTTAGCAAAAGCTCAACTGGAAGTCACTGATGGTGAGATACGAAAATTTCTATTCAATTTGTTTTTTACTGTCCATTGCTTTTGACCAATAGCACAGAAAAAAATTAAAAATCTTGCAAATACAGAGAAAAGAGATCAGGTTAATCATATCAGCAACTATAGATTACATGCCATGCACAAAGAATCTTAATGCTCTCCACTGGGTGCATCTACATGTACAATTAAGTTGAAGCAATTATCTATGGTACTTCTCATGCCAGAGTTTATTGCTTCCCAGGAGCTGCAGTTACATGTATACCTGGAAGCGAAGCAGGCTCAGGTGGAAAGGAGCTTGCGGGGGTCAGACTGCCAACCCAGGGAGGCTCTGACTCAGCTCAGTGTGCAGCAGAGGGGCTGGTTGGGGCACAAGAGTGCTCCAGTGCAGGGCTAGCTAGCCGGCAGCCCCTGCACTGAAGTACCCTCATGCCCCAGCCAGCCCTGTCAGCATCTGCACATGTGTTGCTGCAGAGTGAAAGACTCTGAAACAGGATAGTACTTGTATTTACAAATACTGTCCCACTGTGAAGTTAATTAGTTGACTTGTGCCTGATATGCATGTATAGATGTGAGATGTTTACTGCAGAGCTAATTAGTTAGCTCTGCAGTAAATGCCTCAGGTAGATGCACCCACTTTGTCACAAAGACATGGGATGCAGGGTTGAAAACCCCTTAAACTAAAAGTACAAATGGAAGAACATACCAACTTAGAATACAAAAGCCTGAAAAGGGACATGTTTTATTATACTGAAGAAGAAATTGAAGCTGCTGTAGTCTAATGCAGAATTAAGTTATTTAGCAATGAGTGCTTATGTAGTAAAAGGGCTGAACTGGGATTCATTGGAAATATGCTCTTGCTTGACCACAGACTTTTTATGTTACCTTAGGCTAGTGACTTAGGGACATATGCTTAGCTCAGCAGCATTGGCATAGCTATACTAAACACAACAGACCAATGCTGATTTCCATAAACTAACATAATAGCCTTTAGTTTCTGTGTAAATAAAGGTATTTCCTACTTCACAGGAGTGTTTTAAAAATAAATTAATTGAAGTAGAAAAGTATGCAAATATTACAGAAATGGAATTCATGTAAATCATACTTACCTAGGTGGTAGGGTTGACCAAAAAACAGCACATTTCAACTTATCACTTGGATTTCAAAATTTAATTTTAGAAAACTACATAAAATACATTCCTGCCTGTCTGCCAGCACATACAAACTACCCTTCCATTTTCTCCCATGAATCATGCTGGCTCCTTTGTGATTTCTGGTCATGGATCTAGGGCAGTATATACTAAAAAAAACCCAGAAATTCCACTTTGCCTGGCAGATTATGGTATTCACTGGCCTCCTTATTCCTTATCTTAACTGATTCATTAAATATCTCCTGACAGACTTTGATGAATCTTTACCATTAAAAATGTTGTTATATGCACAGATCTACTATTACAGCTCCCTTAGAGACCTGCCTGCACCATGAAAGTTTGAAAAGATGTCTAATTCTGAATAATCTGGCTTTTCACACGACCATATTCATCACAGGTGACAGGTAGAGAGATTCAGGCACAAGCTATAGAGGTTTAAGCATGAATTTGATGTCATTTCTTTGTTTTCCAAAAGCTGTCTATATTTTTATGACAGGGGGAGATAATTTCTTCCCTATCTTTGCATCTTTACAAGCACCCAGTGCATTTCTGCGAAGTAGTTTCTAGCAGATTAAAGGCTAACCTTCCCTCTGTGACCTCTTTAAGTCTTCCTTTTCTCTCACTCCCTATGACAAAATGATGCATTTTCATACAATACAAATTTACATGTAGATTAAAAGGTCATTTAAAATTAATGGAAAGGCAGTATTTTTTAATATCTGTCCATGGCACTGCCTGATTCAGTGCCATGCCTGAGATTGGAATAAATAGAACATACAAACATTGGCTGAGAGGACATTGAGCTGTTAATGGTTGCACCTGCTGATGCTGCAGAGATTTACTGCAGTAGGGGCCGAAAAGAGCAAGCCAGGTTCAAGGATATCAGTGATGAGAAATTCTTCCTTTCGACAGACAAGGTCTCTGGTCCATCTTCATCTTCATTTTTTTCTCTGTGTGCATGTGTGTGTATGCATGCATGAGTGCATGTGTATGGATGTAAGAGAGAGAATGGAAATCATAATTGACCCCTTCTGAATTTTTCATCAGTTCCTGCAACTAGTCAACAGAACTGCTCATTAAGGTGTTCATGCCAAAATGCAGACTCAACTCAAATTAGTCATATTCTCAGGTACTCTGTACTCTGAAAACCTACAGAAAACATTAACTATTGGCTGGATGACTAAAGGGTTGAAAAAACAGCCTTTTTCAGTATTTCCCAGAACCTGACTGGCAGTACAATGATTGCAAAATAATCCAAGATTATTCTCTAGTAAAAGGGTAGGGAGAGGTTATTAAGAAAATGCAAAAAGAGCACTCTGTAACCCAAGTTGTGTGTGTGTGTGTGTGTGTGTGTGTGTGTGTGTGTGTGTGTGTGTATATAGATTCCACTACATAGTAGATAATTTCTGATATTGCTTATACTTGGGGAATTAGCCATAAATGTCTAAATAGGCTTTGTCAGCTGATGCTGTGTAGAAGTTATGAAAGTCAATTATTTTAACGGTAGAGAAATCTAATTTCACGGTTTAAAAATATATTAAAATATAAACAGTGCACATGTTAGCCACATATTTAAGCCTTAGCTTTCCAGTTTTTGGCTGGTGATTTCAGTTTTACTTCATAGCCCAGAATTTTTCTGTTTGGTTAATGATTTAATAATAGTGGCGAGCCATCATTTTCATTTCGAACACATTTTTGTTTGATCCAGAGTAATTTAGAACCAATTGAAATTCCAATACAGAATGAAAACATATGTCATGTGCAGAAAAACAAGTGCTTAATTATGCCATATATAGAAGTGTTTCAGTTGTTACATTTTTGCACTTATAAGTCTTCACTGGAAATATTTTTAACTCAAGTGTTCATATGAGAAGAGATTACTAGCTGTGATGAAATGTGCTGAGTTGAGTGATAATTTTGCTGATTATGGACTGTGCTAAGAGCCTTCAGTATATTTGAAATTCAAATCTTGTACTTTCTTGAAAGACCAGCACATGAATCCACTGTCTAACTCACATCTGGAAAAGTAAAATCATTTTTAAAAATGAAGACAGTCTGTGCAACATTTTCAAAAGCAAAAGTAAATATGCAATGCACAGGCTTATAATGGCAGGTCATGCAAATTAACTAAATACTTCAGCCTAACTGTGTGTGTGTGTGTGTGTGTGTGTGTGTGTGTGTGTGTCTGTCTGTCTGTCTGTCTGTCTGTCTGTCTGTCTATGTCTCTGTCTCTGTGAGAGAGAGAGAGAGGAGAGAGAGACTGAAAAAGAGGGAGAGAATAATTCACAATTAGTAATTTATTCCATAAATTTATCCTCTTTCTCTCTGCTCAGAATATTCAGGAGTAGATCTCAATTTTTTTAACCTATTCATTATTCATATTTATTAATTGAAGTTCCCAACAACTGCATACATTTTTAACCCTGTGAATTTACCGCCTAATAGTTCTCTGTAACTATGCACAACCACTACTTGGATTTTGCAAACGTGTGTGTGTGTGTAGTAGTAAACATATATCTATATATTATATCTAATTCAGTTATTTTGATTTTTTTTTTGCCTTGTCCCTCTAACATACATACACACACAAGGCATTTCTACATGTGCTTTGGGAGTGTAGCTAGGGGCCCTGGGTGCTTTAAATAGAGTGCCACAGCATCTCGTCTATCAGTGTCCTCGCACTTGAAAATGGCGGCAAGGGCGGTTTATTCAAAGCTCATCCTATGACCTTTAGATAAAGTACCTCCACCGACATTTTGAAGTGTGGGGATGCTGGTACACAAGGCATGGTGGCTAGCTGGGGCATGGTAATTACCATACCCCAGCAGACTCAGTTAACTGAGTCTGATCTGATGCACTGTAATTACAGCACATTGGAGCAGCCTCCAGGCTCATGTACAGGCACCCATAGTAGTCAGAGGGATAAGCTAAAGAATTGAAAAGAATCAAATTAGATACCAAATTTTCAGTGAACCCATAAAAAACTTATCTTACATTGTTTCTAGGCATTTTTAATAAAAGCAAGGAGACGGGTTATAAGGAGAATTTGAAGTCATTCACAAAACCAGATAGGTTGCAGAGAAGGTGGACTCTTACCTGGTAGCTAAGAGTCCTCCTCTGCCTCATTTGAAGTATGGTATTCCACTTTTCAGGAGATACCATCCAGGGCAGCAGTTCCCAACATGGTGCTTGTGGGCACCATGGTGCCCCCTAAGGTTTATTCAGGTGCCCGCGTGAGTTTTCACAATCAGTAAAAATCATTATTCCAACAAAAAATGCTGTCACTGCCAATTTAACTCAGAACAACATTTCAGATTTTTTTTTCGACATGCTGTATGCAGTGGCCACCAAAATGAGACTGAATCAATCTAACTGACACAGTGACGGAGTGGCACTTACTACTCCCTCCCCAAACGAAACTAGGCACGTGTGCATATCCAGGATTCTAAATTCTAAACTTTAATATTCATATTGGTGCCTGCTGCTTTTTCTATTAAATTCAAATGTGCCCTTGGGCACATAAATGTTGGGACCCCCTGATCTAGGGTGTTCTGTAGTATATCATGCCCAGTTCCTTCTTTTGAAGCTGTTCTGGAATACTTAAATATCCATTTATAGCCCATTTATCTGCCTGTGGGGATATTGACCCTTCCATTCCTTGTCCATGGAATATTTAAAAATTGAATGCTGGAAGTATTAAAAAAGAATTGAAAATTCTCTTGATTGTGATGGAACAGGCTCTCTCCTAGTGGGCATGTCTATATGTGCACCCGTGTCTACATGTGCACCCATGTCTACAGTGCATTACTGTGCAGTCCCAGTCATTACTGTGCAGTCCCAGTGGTGTAAAGGTCATTTCTGACCCTACTGCAGAGTAGCAACAAGCTACTGCTCAGTAGCTCATTGTTACTGTGTAGTGGCATTGGCATCAGGGTTTGTGGCTGCTGATATGTCACCGTAGTGGTGAGCTACATAATCATAGCTTATCTCTATGGCAACCTAGCATCTTAAGTAGACACACCCAGTAAGTAGGAGAACTTCATTCAAATCCCTGCTTCAGTCCAAAAGAAGGTATTTGGACTTGAGTATCCCAAAGCGTAGATTTTCTAGACATTACAGGGGGAATACTGAATTGTCTTTTCCCTCCTTTTTTTTTGTCTGAGTGGTGGCTTCTTCCTCTTGTGAATTTGTGTAAGAAACTGAAATTATTTCCTTCAGAAATGCTTCACTTTGGCATTTCTGAATTGTTTTCCTTTTAACCCAAATGCTTTACTGTATTCAACCCAAACTTTCAAGTAGCATCTGTCAAGCATAAACTACATTTTTTGGTCAGGAAGCTGCTATTTGTCAAAAAAATTAAATTCACCTTACTCAAACCACTGGTCAGAAATCAAGTTGTATTGCTAAGCCGTGGTCAGATAAGATGTATGGTCTGATTTCTCTAGCCAGAATCCATGGATGTATGTATATGCTTTCAAATACAAATTTTAAATTCAATGAACATTGAATGCAAGCACATATGGCTTTGAAATTCACCTTCCATGAACGTTCATACCAGTAAAATTTGCTCGCACAAATGTTAATAAAAAATTAATCAGAAGTTGTACACTGGGAAAAAATAAAGCTACAATAACTATTCATTGACTTATTGTAGTATTGATCCATCTTTAAAATAGGATGAGTGTTAATACATATGCAAACTTCTTTCAAAAATGCTACTCAGGATTTAGTTTCTTGTTCAGTACAAGACCTATGTAACTGACAAAAACAGGAAAATTTAAAGATATTTTGCAGAAGATTTACAGGTCATAGTTGTGAAGACAATACAGTTGTTCACAGTTCACTGGAAACCCTAAGTGTTCATTTAACCTTTAG